TTTCATTCATGAATTGTAATAATTTTTCTGATATTTTCTAAAGTATCCTATGTAGCTGGTTACAATGTACCCAGCGCTAGCACCTTGCAACAGAGTTCTGAATGTAAACTAAAAATTCTTTTTTATATCTGTTTTTTTTTTCGTAAATGAAAAAGTTTTGGAGTTGAATGCGTCTACTCTGAATGATCATAAGTGTGAAACGTATTCTCTCCGTTTTATGATTAAACCTTAGTGACTTCCACATGGTAATTTCGCCAAATTTCTCAGATAGTGAGGTAGGTCGGCATCTTCCGACGTAGCGCCGTGTTTCTATATGTACTAACGGCTCATAGAAGGAGCAAGGAACCATAACAGTGTGACAGTAGCTGCCTTGATGTAAATATATACACACGCGGCGCGTTTCCTCGCGCATATAGCAGTTCCTGCATATTTTTCGATAATTTTACTCAAGCTATCGTGCAGACTAAATCTTTCAGGAGGAGCTACAACATTGAGTTTTCGCAATTTTACATGAAAGTACTTGAGTACGTCGTCATCTGAATCTTATGGATTTTCTTCATTATAATAAAATCTCACGAAGAAGTGAGTTGAATGCATAATCTGAAAAACCTTCTTCAGAAAGATTCTAAGTGGTTTTTATATTTGAAATACGAAAATTCTACATTTTCACAAGTATAAAGAAATTAAATCGATTTGGTCCTTTGCACAAAATGCACACTGTGCGATACAAGCTTGTCACTGTTTGACAAGTGCGACGACAAACCCTTTTATTTTTTGAGTGATATTTTAAAGATTATCTTAGGTTCTTCCGGGATAAAAGGGTTTCTTAATTCCAGATATAAAATATTTGCACGCGACATCGCTGGGCGACCTGCAAGCCCACAAGTTTGGCAGGTTAGCGGGTCTCTTGCCGTTGCATCATCGTTTGATAGAATGACGTGCCGTCCAGCCGCTATAACCTTCGCGACCGGTCGACCCGCGCAGTCGACGTTCCTGGAACAGGGGGATAGGAAACGAACGAGCGAGCGAGAACGCATGGAAGAGCGGAGAGGAGTCGCGTTGGAAGAGGAGGAGGTGGAGAACGAAGAGGAGGAGGAGAGGAGGGAGGAGGAGGAGGAAGAGGGCGGGTAGGGCCGGGGGTGAACCCCTTATTGATTTTTAGGGTGACACTGTCAACCGGCGGCGAGTGTCGAGTCCCCCGCGACGGGCGACTTTGAAACGACAGCGAGCGAGGAAAAAATGCGCCGGCCGGCGGCGCGCCATTGCACGCTCACGTAGAGAAAGTCTTTTCATCTCCCGGGTGGCGAGTAGGCGACAATTGCCCATTGACAACGCCACGCATCGGTCGAACGCTTGATGCCGACGATGAGATAAGGGACGACGTTACTAGGGTCTACCCGACCATCGGCTTAGTTGATACGCACGCCGGGCGAGGCCGTGCGACGTTTTTTCGCCGCGCGTCGCGGCGGTTGGCGTCGGCGTCAGCGGCGGCGACGGCGACGGCAACGGCGACGCCGACGGGAGGAAAGAGTAACCGCGACGCAGTCCCGTTGCGGTCGGGGGTGCAGCTCTCTCTCGGCGCGCAGGACCGTACGCGTCCGTGGGAGACGCTCCACGTGGGGGCGAGCTCTCTCGGCCGCCTCTCTCGCGATCGCACACGCGTTCGTCTTTGACGTCTTTGTCGCGGCGACGGATATATATCTATACCCTATCTAACGGGGGTGGTTACCACCTCGGAAACGCGAGGGGAACACTGCATACCGGGGGGAGGGTGCGAACCTCCGTACTCACAAGCGAGCGAGCGAGCGAGCGAGCGACAACGGCGAGTCCTCGTAGTAGTGATCGTCGTTGCTCTTTCTCTGTCTGTTTCACGTTCTCTCTGTCTCCTATCTCTTTTTAGCTTCTTTTTATTTCTTCTATTCCCACCCCGCATTTTTCCGCTCTCCCGGCTTCGAGGTAGGCGTCGCGCTGGCGGACGCGAGTGATGCACGAGTTGCACGGGAAACGTGGCTTCTCGGAGCGCAACGCGGAGTCAATGATACTCGTTCGCGATTACGAGAAATTGTTTCCGAAAGTATACGGTGTGATTGACAGAAAGTTTAAATCGACACGCGTGGGATTATAATTACGAATCCTGAGACGATCTTACGCGCTGCGTGCCCGAAGTGAAGTGCGCGAAAAGAAAATCGCTCCTCGAAGCGTAGTGCAATCAAGACGCGGAATCACTGTGAGATACCTCAGAAACGCGATTTAACGTTCATCTGTCGGGTAAAATTCTCATATTGTTTGCAAATTTGAACGCGTGACTTTGCTGTCACGCGTATATACACGGCGCTGCTCGCATGCAACAGGCGACACCGCGTTGCCAAAGTTTCCTCTTGATTAATCGATCGGAAATTACCACATCGAAGTAACATAAGCGTTTCGCGGACTCGAATTACGCAATCGTTAATTTAACGCGACCTGATATGCAAAGAGCGATGTCAGGTCATACTGTTTTCTTTTATTCAGAATATAATTAATTAAGCGACAGAGAAAAAGAGCAATACATCGCACTCACGCGACAGAGTGACATTGTGAAAGAACGACCGCGCCGTCGAGGACGTTAGCCGCGAAATTACGCGAAGTGCGGCGCACGCGAGTCACAATCGATACCGGTGAGAGAGAGCGCGAGGTGTGCAGCGGTGTGGCAGCGGGCGGTTTCGACGACAACGGCCGACGATTTGACGACAGTTCGGAAAAAAGCGTGGACGGAGGTACGCTTTCGACGTAACGCGACATCATAACGTAACGCGATCGCCGACCGGAGAGATACAAGCTCGTTGCGCGACGCCTGGCGGTGACGCGAACCGGCGCGGCGCGTCGCCATTCGCGTGAAACCGGCGGCGAGGTGGTCGCGCAAAACAACAAACCACGCGGTGGAGGAAGGGTGAACGGAGAAGGGGTTGGACGGAGGAAGAGCGGACGATTTTCTCTTCGGGGAGGTGCGTACATCGTGTCGTGAGGAGGTGTACGCGACGAAGCTTCTCAATCGCCGCTGCACTTCGTCTCTCTCTCTTTCTCTCTCCCTTCGCGGCCGTCGAAACGTTTGAAAAGCGGAGGAAAATAGCGGAAAAATGGCAGTCCTCTTCGGCATCCGCGCGTGGAATAGCAATTATCGTCTGCGGCCTAGGAAGAAATCCAGTTGACACCCGGGCGTGAGTGGCGAGACCGAGAAGAGAGGAACGGAGAGGCGAACGACAGGAGAAGGGAGGATAAAGAGAGAGCGAGAAGGAGGGTGAAACACGTGGTCCGTGAGGGAGCAGTTAAGGGGCGAGGTGCGTGTGTGACTTAGTTACGTTCCTGGTACACGTGTGTATATGCATTTCTATTGAGTATCTCCGTAATGATAACGTGTGATAGAAATTGATAATCGGTGAGCGAATTTATGAGTTTACGGCATTTATGAGTACAGCGATCAACGCGGTGACACACATGGACTAATTTTTTCACAATTGTGATAGATTCGACGTATACATCTCAATTTCTAATTTAAGTGATTGCTCCAAAGACCCTAAAAACGTCTGAATCGAGGACGAGTAATTTGTAAAAATTTTTACTTCATTGAGAAGTCAATCGAGTGTATTTGCATGAACATCGTTCTAGCTCTTGGCGCCATCCGGCAGGCTACATTCCTGGACGTGAAGTTCGTCTGTTGACTCCGGTGGTGTTTATTCGCGCTCGGTCCGATTCGTTCTCTCTCATTTGCGTACGTCCAGCATTCTCCGTCTCTTTCTCGCCATCGGACATCGTCGGACGAGAGAGCGCGCGCGCGTGCGGGCGGGCGCACTCGCGGGGTCGCTTGTGTTTGGAACGTCGTGAACTTTTCTGCAATGTGACGACGCGGGTGATGAATGGTTACTAGCGTTATGTCGCAGCAGTGCATGCGTCTGAAAACGGACGCGCGACCGGAGCACAAGCAAGCATCAGTTGAGATGTCCTGAGTCGGCGATACACGCGACAGCGGAGCGACGACCGTTGGAAAAATGCCGGCGACGCGACCACTGCACGACAGGCCCTTGTTGTTGTTGCCGCTGTTGCTCCTAGACGACCCCGCGACCGTGCGCGGTGTGCTGCGACGAACGATCGACGCAATTACGAACTCTTGAACTGTGCCCGACGGTTAGTGTGCCTTCGCCGCGAATCGGCTGGACGTCGTGAGTTTCGCGTACTGTGTGTACTGGTTTAGGTTAGGTGTACCGGCACATAACCTTAAAGCCTAAGCGGCACAGAAAGCAAGAGCCTCGCGTGTTGCTATCCCGAAATTATTACTCCTGGGAACGATCGAGACAAATTTACCATTCGTCCTTGAAGCTGCATACCGGCTTCCTACTGATACTGGATGATCGGTAGGATGGTATGAATACGGCGGTTTCGAGAAAATGAAGGCGAATGGGACAAATAATGGTGATTTTCTCTTGTATATGTTTATGTCTATGATATCTGCTATTGTATATTGAATTTGTGAGTTTATTCTGTATAGAAGCATTAGCCTCCAATAATAATATTTAATTGTATTGTAATGTTTGCGTAGGATACATTCATTTCTCGATACTGTTACAGTTATCAAAGAATATAAAATACAATCATGTTTGTAGTATGCGGAGAGCTTATTCTTGTGACAATTAGTACATAGTGCTTTTGATGTCATGACTTTTTCTGTCATGAATATGATATAAATAGTGTTGTTCAAGCATCATTAACTATAAATGTAGAGCTTTCTTCCATTCTTGTGCTTACTTTGGAACAGTGGACAAACTAGTTTATGTATGCTATCGCAAACATACGTTACAACTAAATTATATGTAATAGTACATATATTATCATTGTGTGCGTGTGAAGAATGTATCTTTTTATTATTTCTTGTTATTCTTCTACATTGAATCATTAGAACCATAGCAAATCTATATCATCAGTAATTTGTTCCATATTAAATGACTTACATTATATATTATTTTCAGGCTGTAGCCGCCTGAACACACCATTGGCAGCCACCACCACACTGGAGGATCCAGGTACGCCAGCCTCTTGGAAGGGCCCGCCGCCCGGTTCGGAGGCATCGCCCTTTACACCTAATTCCGTCGGCCAGGGCGGTGGTCCTGGTTCAGGTCCATATAATAGTACAGGCGGTCCACCCAGTAATGCGGGCTTCCAAGGGCCAAGTCCATTTCCCGGCAGCGCCGGCAGTCCAGCCGGAGCACCGCCGTATCAGGGTCCGCCGCCCGGTTCAGCAACACCACAGTACACCGCCTCTCCTGCACCGAGCGGTTCGTCGACACCCGGTCCTGGACCGCCGCCTAATTCCACCGGTTTTCCGCCACCTCCGAACAACTCCGGGCCGCCGTACAATGGCCCTGGACCCAGTCCGTTCGGCTCACCTTCAGGTGCACCGCCGCAGTTCGTCGGTCGACCCGGTTCCTCGGGACCGCCATTTGTACCACCAGGTGCCGGTAATCCGCACTTCCCGTCGCATGGTCAGCCGTTCGGTGGCCCGCAGTATGGTATACCACCAGGAAGCCCGTTCGGACCTGGAGGACATCCTATGGCGGGACCCATGGGTCCAGGACATCCGGCGATAATGGGACCCGGCGGACCTGTCGACAGATTGGATCAAGGGTAAGTTTTGACTTTAATTATACTGCATGCCTTGTATATACGAAGCGAGGTAATGGTTCTATGTCAATATCTGAATACCTACGTGATATAATTATTACGATTGAATATGTAATATTGTGATATATAATGTTTGTAGAGAAGGTTCATGCTTTTGCTGCGCAGACACCAAGAGATTGTAGATATTGAGATAGCGCGTTACTCGCTTCTGTTTTGCATGTATAATTTATGTTGAGATAACGGACATGATCGACACTGCGCTTACGGATCGAAGCGAACGATTACAGTTTGCTAAGAAGAATAACACACAAATATTGTCCCTGTCGCGAATGCAAATTGCGATAAACTTTATTATGAATATTCGCGGGCGTTATAACGTTAAAACGTTATTACTTTTAATTAAAAGTCGCGCGTTTTCTAATTATATAGAAAACTTTGGAAAGATTTTATGCACCGAGAAATGGAGCGCGATTTGTAGAGAAAGTTGCACGCAGTAGAAGCGGTTACGCTAATGATTATTAATCGTGGTGAAAGTTACTATTATTCTGATTTGCAGTAATTTTGGGTTAGGGAATGCAAAATGTTTAGGAAACATGAACGTTAAATTTTACGACCTACGTTTTAACGTAGGAAATCAACGGGAACGCGCTATCTTTTCGCGTTCATTTGCGATATATTTACTGGAAAAAATATTCAGTATCTAGAACGCATATTTTTCGTAAATAATAATTTATAATGAATTCAACTGTTATTAAACGCTTGTCAATTTATTATAACTTTTGAAATTATGGTACTTATCCAATTCATTTCTGGATTCTGTATCTTCAG